AAAAGTTGACTTAAGTGAACAAGAAAATATAATCAAAAGAAGCAGGTTATCAAATCCTATCAATAGAAGCATCTCATGTTTTTTATAGCAATTATCCAACAGAACCGGGGAAGATAATAGTTGCCTATATGCGCCTTTCAAGTAGTTTAATTTTCCTAATTCAAAGAAAAACTGCTGACCATTTTGCCCTCCATGATACAATTGTACGTGATGGTTTCATTAGTATAGTAATTGTTGAATCAATGCCTAAATGACTAATTATGTGGTCTACTTTTATGCTCCCTGCCCCTCCTTGCGTGCACGGGGGCATGTTCTTCTCAGTCTTTCCATGACCATATTGGTTTTTAGTTTTCTGCTTGGTTGAAAGAATAACTTTGGGAAGTGCAGCTGTTATTTCAATTAGTCATGTAGCTTCGCCTTCTTCTACAAGTTGATTGTAAGTTTGTGATGTTTTGTATGCTCAATTATTAAACTAAAATCGTGTCAGTAAGTGGGGAATTGTAGCCTGGAAATGTTTTTTTCTGACTTCTTCTTGGAGGAGGGGAGGGACTGTTGGCAGAGTTTCCAATGGGTAGACATTTCGCTTTTTTCATCAGCGAAATAAGTTGCACCTGCCATTGACCCCAACCTTTAATAACTAGTTACAAATACAGGCTATGATGATTTCTCATCAAGCAAGTCATGGAAAGACTTATTTCTCGTGCACCACAGGGCCGAATGACGAAAACAACATTTCCTTACACTTTGGAGCCAATGTTTATTTTGCTATGCATGTAGAGTGGCATGTGCTGTGAATGACCAAATGTAAGTGGTACCTTATTTGTATCACAGTGTCGCGAGTGCAATGATGTGTTGGTCTTGCTGTTTCTATGGAAATGTGTTGGGTTACTATTGCATCTCTTTTCAAATCTATATATATTTTGCACTATGCTGTTGTTTGCTGCTCCTTATATCTAATTGGTATGTACAAATTTCTTATGCCACAAACCTTAATTGCATGCTTAAACTGTTGTTGTAATTGTGCTGTGAAACATTCATGCATTCTTGATTTTGGTTGTGACAGCTCTGAACGAGGCCCTAACTGCGGAGGTTCAACGTTTGAAGCTCGTGACTTCAGAGCTGAGTGCAGAATCTGCCAAGTTTCAGCAGCTTTCAATTAATCCCCAGATGTTCCAGTTGCACCAGCATCAGGCTTCCCAACTAAACATACACCAGTTGCAGCAGCAGCAGCAGCAGCAGCAGCAACAGCAACAGCAACAGCAGTCTCAGCCACAGCAACAGAATGGCAGCACGACGACGCAGCACAAGTCAAACCAATCAGTTTGATGATAAGGAAACTCAAAAGCTTCTCAGCACCGGAGTAGGAATTCGATCAATCACTATCGATGTGCCAAGAAGCCCTTTAATGCCTGCTTAATGAATCTGTCTATGGATCTTAGTAGTAGGTATATCATTCTACATATTCATTCATTAGTTTTGCATCTCCAACAATACAGATGAAGGTGTGTGCTATTTTACAAATACTAGCCTTATCTAGCAATGTCCATCCCAAATGATGCTGTGATATACCAGTCACATATTTTTTATTGTTTTTATTCATGCTTTAGTACTAGGAAATTTATTCTGGATTTAAGGTCGACTTGAGCATGTTTTTTTGTGACATTTGGAGATTTATACCTACTCTTCCTCTGTTTTAAATTGTTAATTCAAGTAATGAATGGGAATTTCCTTGACGGAAGCAGTAAGTAGGGGACGCCGAAATCACCGTTTTCAAGTGTAAATAATACAAATAATTTTAAATTTACAGGACAAATAAGAAAATCTCTTTGAAAATATATATTATTGGATTGAATGATTAGAACTTGTAATCATTCAATACATAAGGGCAACTCCAAGGGGGTGGCAACCCCATATGCCACCTTAAATTCAAAATTTTGGGCTCGAAGGGGGGGGGGGGGGTGGCATATGGGGTTGGAAAATAGCATCAAAACTCTTGTGGTGGTATTTTTGATAATTCTGGAGAGAGAGAAAGGGAGAGGTTGTAAATGAATTGATGAATATAGATCTATTAAATGAATATTGATCTAACGATTCATATCGATTGATGAATAAAAATATGAAAATGACATTCTATTTTGGCACATACCATTAGAGTAGATTTATAATTCAAAAGTGTAAAAACACTGTTCAAGTTATAAATGAGTAATTTGACACCTCAAAATGACAATTCTCTTTGGAGTTCCTTTAAAGACGGTCTATAAGAAAACCCTTGTAATCATTCAATACATAAGGCAATTTCAGGGAAAATTAGAAATCCTAAGGATTTTCGAAACCGAAAAATAAATCTGTAATTTTAGAAACATTATTAAAAATAAATAAAACATGTCTCAGTTAATTATTTTGGATTATTTTTAATTAAATTTAAGAAATAATAAAATAAATTTAAAATATAAAAACAGCCGGTCTTGTTCTACATCATAAGTGATTTATTTGTTAAGAAGAAGGGAATATTTGTTAAAAAAAAAAAAAAGAATTGAAGAGAAAATGTATAAGAGGAAAGAATGCTTCTGATCAGCAGCAGGTGGTTCAATGAACACTTCCAAAGCAGTGGATGGATGTAGTCCATAAATGGTGTGTTTAGTTCTACTTATGGCAAGCATCTCCGTACCGTCTTTAAATATACGTAGTTCCATCGTTTGGGTGTGGAACAACAGCTAAGCTAGGGTAGGGTAGGGTAATTGTTGGTATTTGATCTAAATTCAAATTTAGAGTGTTTATTTTATTTAATGTTGAGTCTCGTTATTTTGAATAAGTCTGAATTATTTATTGCAGACCTTTAAGAGTTTGTTTTCAAGTTGTTTTACAGGATAGCAGTTGTGTCTTAAGAATAGGATACGACCTGATAGAGCAATTTTTTAGGAGTAAGTTGAGTCATTTTACAAGTCTGTTTTGAGTTTTTGTGTTTTCCTATAAATTAGTGCTGTACTTGCACTGTATTATTTATTTTCTACGGTCAATAATTTTTTTTTTCTTTCTTCTATTGCTTCTACTGTTCTCGTGATCCTATTTTTGGGAAATTAAAAACTTCACCTATAATTTCCTGCACGTGGTATCTGAGCTACTTTGCTGAGAGGAGGTACTTTTTTTGGGGCTCATACTCCTACCAGCTTTCCCCTTGTGCTGATCTTTTACCACCGCTGGAGTTACTTGTGTTGGAAAGAGTCACCTTGCTCTACAGGCTCGGCTGACCCTGATTCATCTTGTATTCATGAGCACATAACGAGCCCATCAAACCCTCAATCGTCATGGTTGAAAGATCCCTTCCTTCTTCAATTGCAGCAACAACATAATCAAACCGATCCGTCAAGGATCTCATGATTTTTTCAATAACACATATTTTTCTTTTTTTCACTGTTAACCCGTAATTAATTGACAACGGATTGAACTCGGGAAAAATAGTCAGATATAGATTCAGAATCTTTCATTTTAAGAGATCCGAATTCACCTCGCAAGGTTTTCAACTTTACACTCTTCACCTTCTCATCGCCTTTGTAGGATTTTTGCAACATATCCCATGCCTCCTTAATCGTAGTTGCACTTGAAATCTTTTCAAAGACAATCTCATCTACAACTTGGTAGAGAACGAATAACGCCTTCTTGTCTTTCCTTCTACTGTCCCTTAAACTGTCCTTCCAGACTTTGAGTAAGTGCTTCAGCTGCAGCTTGACCCACTGGTTCTGCATATCCAATATCAACAATCTCGGATAGCTCCTGAAAACCGAACAAGGCCTTCATCTGGATATACCATTGATCAAACTGTTTTCTTATAAATTAGTATCGTACTTGCATTGTGTTATTTATGTGTTACAGTCAATAAATTTTTCTTTCTTTCTTCTATCTCTTATATTATTTTCTTGATCCTGTTTTTGGAAAATTAAAGACTTCTACTTTAATTTCCTGCACGTGGTATCGGAGCTAGAATCATGTAATGTTCTTGTTGGTCTAAGTTTTTTTTTTGGTGATCGATTTATAGTTGGGGTCACAATCACGATTTTAATATTTATTGTGCCACACTTGTTCCTTCGTGGTTAGGTTTATCAAACATTGTATGATTCAGTGACAGTGGGACCACCTCTTAAAGCGAACAAATTGAAACAAATGCTACGGATTTTTGTTGTTCTAAAGGGTAAATGAAAGAAATATAATTTGCACAATAATTAATTTAAGGCCAAGATAAAAAGAACCCTCTTGTACAGCAGAGAGGGATCATGTTTAGCACATTCATTTGTCGTTGTCCCATCATGACAGAAAAGGTTGAATGCGAAAGCACAAAGAAATGTGAAATGAATGTAAAATTCATAGGCATCCTATGTAGGTTATGCTTTGTCCATTTTGATTTTGATTAATAAGAAATTTATATTGCTAACCCAAGGAGAACAAGGTCAGGATGGCCGAGTGGTCTAAGGCGCCAGACTCAAGTTCTGGTCCTCGAAAGAGGGCGTGGGTTCAAATCCCACTTCTGACAAAGTCTTTTGTTGTGGTGGAAGAACAGAAAAACTTCATAAGCTACCACCGATGTGCATGATTAACACTCCTTAGCAGAAACAGATAGCTCGAGCAACTGTCTCTTATTCCTTTCTATTCATAGAATAGTCTTTAAACACGACATTATATAAATTAATTATGCTAATAACTGACGTAACTCGTCACTCTATAATGTAATTAACTACCTTAAAAATCACCCATTAATCTCAAGCCACCAACCCACTTGGTGGATAACTGTCTACACCGAATAGGAAGGACATAGGTGTTATAACCCATTACCACCATTTCTGTGGGAAAGGGTGCGGACATGAGAGAAATGCAATGACCAAGAATGAATATGCTACAATTTGACAAGAGGGGTTGTCATTCGGAAGCATAATTTTTGGGAAAGATGTTATGTTCGATTGTAGCTGCTCAGATTTTTGGAACATGAGAGTATAAACACGAGTAAATCATCCAAATTAGATCCTTTATACTGATGGCTCCCCGAATATTAAGGGGGGGAGGAGTAGGATTAATCCTGACCTCCCCAGACCAGCTGGAGACAGCATATGCCTTGATATTTGGATTCAAGGTCTTGAATAATGAGGCAGAGTAAAGCACTGCTAGCTGGATTGAGGTTGACAAGGAGCACGAACTAAGAGATTAGCTTCCTCACTAAACAGCAGCACACAGGTGCAGCCTACCTTCACCCTGTGTAAACAGAGAACATTGAAATAAAGCATTCAGGTTGAATTTGGATTCATGTTGAATTAGGATTGGGAGTCTTAAAACTGGGATTAAACCACCCAATCTGTCCCAACTGCACCCCTAACTCCCCTAGACGATACCTCCTTGAGACCGAAGGGGTCTAACATGTTGCAACATATAACTAGACCACCGGCTCACATACATGCAGTATGAAGTTTATTAAACACAAGCCCAAACACTAACACACAAGCTACGCTGAGCATCCTATTCATGGAATGAGAAAAGATGCATCTTTAGGTGGTTATAATGTGATGGAGGAGAGGAATGAATAAACAGGTTAGTGATAGGGATCCATAAGATTGTCTCATGACTTTGAAAACTAGTCATTTTTCCATATCCTGGCATTTGTTTCACTTTCTACATGTCATTTGGGAAACCAATCATACCTAAATGAGCAACCACCAGCAGACTAGCTTCGTCACCGAAAGGCAGCATTCAGGTGTGACCTCTACCTTTGCCAAGAGAGCCACTCTGTATAAACTTAATAAACCAACCAGTTTTCCCTCACTCAAGAATACCCTGCAAGAATGGAAATTTACGAGGATTGGAAGACGAGGATACATTGATTAAAACAGATTATAGTCACTTGAGACTGAACATCCAACCAACAAAAAAAAAGGGCTTAGGATCCAACCTTCCAACCCAAAGATACCAGGGCTGATATACTGAGGGATTAACATACAGAACATTCAACAGTGTTAAAAAGCCAAACAATGAGGGGAGAATAAATTAAATTAGTTGCACATTGTATATCAACGTGGAAAAAAAATAAACTCAATAGCATATCAAATTACATTCCACGCATAAAGTCAGAAAATACCAAAATTGTAAAAGAAGCTTTAACACTCATATTCTACTGTCAAGAAAAACTAACGGAATCTTATTGAGTACATACACTAGTTGGTGTTTTTTGACACAATCCAATGGCCAATTTCGAACATCGTTCCCACTCATGGTTTTTAACTAATTTACAAACCAAATTGACTAAATGAAAGAGTGGTTTAACTCCCTTGTGTTTTCAAACATGTTTTCAAGATTGTTTGTTTAATGCGTAATTTGTAAACACGATTTCAAATTGCAAAACAGTTACTTTATTCCACAATTCATTCAAAAAAATGACGAAATATGTTACATATCACGATAAAGTGGGAATAGAGTTCAAAAATGACCATAATATAACGGTAATAGAGTGATTCATTACATTACTCATCCCTTGCTTGTACTCTGAATCCCCTGGGCTGTAAACTGGCAAGCATTGCCAGTAATAAATCCAGCACAAAAATCACAACTACACTGAAACCCTATCCTCCTCTTCCTGTTGTTGGACTCTCCCCTCCTCCCCTTTCTGATTTTTGGTTCCCTGAATCCAACCTCCATCAATATTCTGTATACTTCCAATCAACCCATCATCCAAAAAATCACCAACTCTTTTCACTTTGCCACTTGGCTGAACCGGGTAATTCCCAGTAAAGCAGGCATAACAAAAGTTTGGAGAATCATCACTCAACAGCTTCTTCAAGCTATCAATTGGCAGAAAAGCAAGGGAATCAGATCCAATAAACTCCCTAATCTCATCCACACTCATCTTATTCGATATCAACTCCTCATCACTGGGAGTGTCCACTCCATAATAACAAGACCCAATAATTGGAGGGCTTGCAATCCTCATATGGACTTCCTTAGCCCCTGCCTCTTTGATCAACCTGACAATTTTCGAAGATGTTGTTCCTCTAACAATGGAGTCATCCACCACCACAACCCTCTTCCCTTCCAATACCGCCCTCACTGGAGAGAGCTTCAGCTTCACTCCAAAGTCCCTAATCTTTTGTGATGGCTCAATAAAGGTCCTGCCAACATAATGTGACCTTATAAGCCCTTGCTGGAAGGGCACACCTGCTTTAGCAGCATAACCAAGTGCAGCTACAACCCCAGAATCCGGCACAGCTATCACAACATCACAATCAACCGGGGACTCCATGGCGAGGATTTCCCCAAAAGCATGCCTAGATTCATACACTGATCTCCCAAAAACCACTGAATTGGGCAAAGAAAAGTATATATGCTCAAAGATACATGCTTTAGGCTCGGGATGAGGCATCAAACACTGTGATCGGACCCCATCTTTGTCCACCACTAAAACTTCACCAGGCAACACTTCTCTCTCATATGTAGCCTCAATTAGGTCCAAGGCACAAGTCTCAGAGGCAAAGACAACAGCCCCATTGCTCCTTCTACCCATAACCAATGGCCTAAACCCAAATGGGTCTCTCACTGCAACCAACTTATCTTCGGTCAAGAACACCATTGAATACGCTCCTTCAAGCTGCTCGCAAGCCTCAACAATCCTCAAGAGGAATGGTCTCGCTTTCGATATCGCGATCAGGTGGAGAACCACCTCTGTATCAGAGGTAGTATTGAAAATTGACCCACTATCTTCAAGCTTAGCACGAAGTGTTTGATAATTCACCAAATTACCATTGTGGGCGACCCCAACTGACCCAAATCGATACCCGGCGACGAAGGGCTGCACATTCTTGAGCATGGAAGAGCCAGCAGTTGAGTAGCGCACATGCCCAATGGCCATACTACCGGAAAGTTTAGTGAGTTTTGACTCAGTGAAGACATCAGAGACTAACCCAACACCAGTAATCGATTGAAGAACGTTGTCGTGGACGGCCACGATGCCGGCACCTTCTTGGCCACGGTGTTGAAGCGCATGAAGGGCAAGATAGCAGAGACGAGAGGCTTCAGGGTCACCATAGATGCCCACAACGCCACACTCTTCTCTGGGCTTATCGTCATCTTCAAAGATCACAGAATTGTCATCTGGGTTTGTTTTGTACATGGAGATAATATCGGAGATGGGGTTTTTGGAGGAGGCCGTGAAGCGGGACTTATGGGTGTACAAGACGGAGGAGGATTTTGGGAGGGTTTTGGGGAAAAGAGAGATGGGTTTGGACGATGAGGTTTTCGAGAGAGAATTCGGTTTGTCTAGGGGTGGTGAGAGAGATGAGAGATTGGTAGCTGCGGCGGCAGTGGTGGAGGCCATGGTCGTGTTTTGGGGGTTGTGGAAGTGTGTAGGAGGAAGACACACACGAGAGAGAGAAGTCGAATGGGCTAGGAATAGCCGAAGTGGGTTCGTTTAGGTTTTTTTTTTTTTTTTCTTGTCAGACCGTCGGTATTCCGAAGTTACAAAATACTCCGATTAATACAAATTTGAATCAAGTAAGACTACGAGGTTGACGAAGTTATCCCTACTAAATGTATCTGTATTTTCAAGCCTCAAATCGAGAATCTTAGTTACAGTAAAACAATCTCTCACCTACTAATATACGCGGTCTGTGGTGTTCGTTTAGGTTTTGGTCCTTTTATGTTAGAGAGAGTTTGAGTGGTGACTAAATTTCTAGTCGGTGAAGATTGAAATCTCACCCGCAGGGGTTGATTGGTTGTTTGATCTTCGCACTAGGCTGTGACTAACTACACAAACTTTTTAGGCCAATTGAAAAAAAAAAAAAAAAAAAATCTAATCTAGAGTTTCATTTATCCCATCAAATAATATTATTTAATAGAATGTTCAAGTTAGGTAGATAATATTTGGACCAATATTTCATTTATTGGAATGCTCGAGTGCGTATATAAATAATACTTTAGATCATTTTGTTTTCAGTTTTCTTGGTCTTTTCAATTTTTAATAATAATGAAAGGGGCGTGATTGACCCATTTGCTTTTGGCTAACTTAGTCAAAAAGAAAATCTAGACGGATCTTTGTTCCAGTAGGAGTGGTGACTTCGATGTTTTTTATGCTAATATTTCTACTCAGATTTCGCCGCATTTCAACATTCGTCAACTCAAAAGTCGTTTTTCAAATCTTATCCGCAAATTCAATGGATTAACTAAGTAATGATAGATAACAAAACTATAATTTCATGGATTTATAACAAATAATGCCTAGAACTTCCAAAATGTATTATTAAAAATAAATGCAAGGAACTCCAAAAGAATGGATAATAATATTGGTTAATTATTATGATATATTAAAAGTTGTCAAAATGCAGACGACGTTCTTCTGTTACTCAATTTAACGAAGCATTTTTTCTCTTTTTCATCTTAGTGAATATGTTTTTCTTATTTTCTAAGACGTTCGAACGAGTTTAAATAGTAGACATCTTCTCTTCGACTCTCTGCATACCTTTATTTTTAATAATATATTTTGGGAGTTCCTGACATTTTTTCGTTATAAATCCATGAAATTATAGTTTTTTTATCTATCATTATTTAGTTAATCCATTGAATGGATCTCTTCAGATTATTTTTCCAATTATTTTGAACTAGATTTTAGAAAAATTATTATTGTAGAGATCTCGAGTTTACCCTCATCCAATCCTCGAATTTGGATGGAAATTTAGAGGGTTATATGTGACTAATATTATTGATGAGACACTTCTGAGGAATAATAACATTTTGACATATGCCCTTGGCATCGAGACACATCATTTTCTTTGATGAAGTCAAGTTCTCTCAGCGCCATGTAATGTCCTCATCTCTGACAAATATGTGTCCTCAGCACTAAGGCAAGTCCTATTCTCTGGAGATGACACACCTTCTCAGCGCCGAGGCACATCTCATTCTCTCACACAGCCACATGTTCTCGGCTCTGAGGGTACCTCCACTCAGAGGCAACCATGTGTCCTCGACACCAAAGGCACTTTATACAGTCGGGCATTTCCACGTGTCTTCAAATTTTAGAGAGGTTACTAATTGACAACTGACAAGTCCCAGAACTAGACTAGAGATCATGAGAGTGCCCTCCAACAAAGTCAGAATGCCAGAATAAACAAGACGCTCAGCAAAAGGGAGCTAGACACGTGGCATGAAGTACAGGCTGAGGAATGAATATACATAAATACCTCTGCTGACATGCGACTATCCCAAATAAGCATTTAATGAACCCCTAGTTGATGGGACATCCACGATGGCTCTGGGAGCATAGAAGAAAGAGCATTAAATGCTCTAGGACTTGAACATTTAATGCCTCTACGTTAAGAAAAAAACATTAAATACTCGGAGGGGGCCGACCATTTAATAATGGGACTTCCTCCACGTGAAATAGGAGGTACACTGCCCCATGTCTAGGTGCTACCTACTGCCTAGACCATCAGTAATGATGAGTCTTTGGAGGTACAAATAGTTTTCAAAAATACAGTGCATAGGTACCATGGTGAACACTCTACAAAAGGGAAAGGGTCCTTAACAAAGGAATATCGATTTACCAACTCCCTCGATTTCGAGAACAAAGGACCATGTTGAAAGTGTCAATAGGGGACTTTTCATTCATTCTAGGGAGCAAGCCCGCCAAACTAGTATGGGTATCGGGTCTATAAGATCCACCCCGTTGGCCTGTCAACTGGCTGTGATGATCGAGAAAAAATTTGAGGATCGGTTACAGGAGTTAGAAGAGGACAACGTCAACGTCCTAAAACGATTCGATGAATTTGCATCCTCTAACAGAGGATTCTGAGACTTACTGTAGTCCCGGGAACCTTTCGTCAGGGAGGTGGGACCTGAGGAACTGTCTAAGTAGCAAATCAGGGAGTTCCTAGGCTTCAATGCGCCCGAGAGCCAAGGGATAACTCCTCGGGGTTCCAGCCAAGAGGGCTAGGCCATTGGCTTGGAACGACCTTTGTCGGGGACTGTTCAGGTTAGGGGGCGTGGAGGAGTGCGAGGAGGGGTCAACCCACTCCGTCCGACACCCTAGGACAAAGGAACACATCGACTGACGTCGAGGAGGTGGAGAGATGCGCCCCAAGCATAGAGAGGACCTCAGGGAACACCTGGATTCCATGAGAAAGAATAAAGTCATACAGGAGGACGACACGAATGATGAGACCATCCAGTCACCCTTCATGAGGAGTATTGTGGAGATGAAGGTGTCAAAGAAGTTTGTGGTACCAAGATTCAAAGTTTTTGACGGACAATTTGATCCGAAAGCCTATCTCAAACAAAACAATTATACAAGCAAATGATGTCTCTATACCACTCAGACCATTGCCTACTTTGTCGAGTGTTCGCGATGAACCTTGTAGATTCCGCCATGAAATGGTTTAAAACCTTTCTACCTAACAACATAAGGTCTTGGAAGGAGCTAACCAGATAATTCTCCTCCCGGTTCATCACAGGGAGTAGAAGGCCTAAGGACGTTGGATTGTTGCTAACCCTAAAGCTGAACGAAGGGGAGACCCTCCGCCAGTACACCACCCGCTACTAGGAGGAGGTAAATGAGGTCGAGAGGAGTTCCAAGGTCATAACAGCTGTCTCTTTTAGACTTGGTCTCTCATGAGACTTTCTACCGGTCCCTAACCAAGAAGACTCTGGTAGATATGGGAGAATTAATGGCCTGAATCAATAAATATTCCCGAATAGAGGATGAAATGGTGGGAGGGGGGGAGGGGCAAAGAGAAGGCTCTCGCCCTAAAGAAGAAGGAAAAAGGAAAAGAGGGAGCCTCTTCCCATAAGGGGTTGATACCTCCGTTAGACAGTTCCTTCAAAGGGGTCCACACCGTGTTCAATGAGCCTATTTACAAGCTGCTCCACAAAATCAAGAAGAAACCCTTCTTCAAATGGCCACAAAAATGCAGGGTGATTTGTCCACTCGAAAGCAGAAGGTGAAATGTTCATATCACCAGGATTTTGGACACCTCACCGAAGATTATAGGATCTACAAGTCCTTCCTGGAGAAACTGGTGCAAGATGGTCACTTGAAGGAATACATCAAGGAAGCAGTGCCAATGGAGGCCCATGGCATCGGCGACCAGACCATGGTCCGAGGCAATGTAATCGATGTTATCCAAGTTTGTCTACTAGAGCGTCCGACATCTAAAACTCTCAGATCCGATCTTAAGAGAGTGGCTTTCACAAGGAAGGTCGACAAGAATGATGGAGGCCGACCGAACAAGAGGCCTCGGACTAGCCAGGAAGACATTATTTTTTTTGACCCCTACCTGTCAAGCGTGGTCCTCCCCCACGAGGACGCCTTGATCCTGACTTTGAAAATCAACAACTTTGGCGTCAGGAGGGTCTTAGTGGACTCCGGGAGTTCTTTCGAGGTAATGTACCTCAAAGTCTTGAAACGCATGGGACTAGGTTTTTAGGATCTCACCAAAGTCAGCACACCCTTCGTTGGAATTTAATGGCTTGTATGCCTTGCCCTTGGGCAAGATTACGTTGTCAGTTATCATCGGATCCATTACAACCAACACAGAGTTTGTAGTGATCGACTTCGATTCACCTTACAATATTATCATAGGGCAGTCCTGATTACATACACTGGGAGTAGTATATTCCACCTATCACCAGAAATTGAAGTTCTCCACCCTTGAGAGAGTAAAGGAGATTTGCGGGGACCAAACATTCACCAAGAATTTTTTCTATTCAGCAGTAAGGGCAGGGGTCGCCTCCAAGAAAAAGAAGCGAGCCCTAGAGGAGGTTCTGAACAAATAACAATTACAGACCGGACGGCTCAGAGTCAACGAGCCGCAGATTGATCCGGCAGATCGCTCAGTGGAGGATCTTGATTACGCCCAAAGAATAACGTAGCAGTTGTAGCACAACTTTGGGGTGTTGATTCCACAGAGAAACAAATTAAAAGAATAATAGAAGGAACAAAGAAACTAAAGAAAAAAAAATATTTAATGATTGCTGGAGAATAAAAATTAATTTTAAATACAAATTAAAATGAAGCAAAGTGATTAGTGAAAAAAGTACTCAAATTTGACAAACAGTAAAACGTCAAAAAACCTTTGCACAAATCTGGTATTTTAATTATTCTTAATTCGTTGAATAACTCAACTAGAAACTCAATTCCCAAAATTTTCAATTGAAAGGTATTGATTTATAAACTAAGATTAAATCAAATATAACCCTTTGAAAAATCATTCATCACTTTTAAAATACGTAAATTATTATTACTATTGAGAAAATTCAACGCTGACAATATACTCAACAAGCAATATTGCAGTAAAGAATTAAATTAATATAGATTAATAATTGATCCAAACCTAATCAAATAGCTAATCCATTCAATAGAAAAAATATGACTGAATCTATAAATAGAATAAACTCTATAATTATTCGGAGAAAAAAACATCAACAATAAATTGAGAATGA